TGAACATCTCTGCCTACAATCTGGGAACGAGCGACAAGATGGGCGAATGGTGAACTTGCGGTGACTAGTGGCGGTGCTTAATACCGATAAATAGACAAATCAACGTCGTGAGAAGACTGATTTTCATTCTTAGTATCTATCAACCGCGATACTTGATGATATCAGCAGCCTATTGGAAAGTATGTTAGTCCGATTCAGGAAAAGGGTACTAGATAGAATAACGCACCTTCTCAGCCAAAGCATACATGGTAGACGTGATGTGAGTCGAGGGACAGACGGGAATGATGCTTGCGTCGATGATGGAGAGCCTCTTGGTTCCGTACACGAGGAGATCTGGTCCAACGACACCTCCCAAATTCTTCTTCATCATGGGTGCGCTTCCAGACGGGTGCCACAAGCTCGAGGCGAGATTGGTGCGGATAAACGATTGGATATCAGCATCCGAGGTGACGCTGTCTGGGGGGCTGGTGGCGGTCGGGCCCATGGTTTGCAATGCTGGGGTCTGCAACATCCTCCTCCAGGCCTTGATCATTTCGGTAATGATGTCGAGATCGAGTGGGTTGCGAAGAGTGGCAAAGTCAACGACCGGGTCGTCGAATGCGTCCTTGGATTTGAGTGTGAGGAAGCCTCGGGAGAACGGCTTGAGGAGGACGAGACCCATTCCAGCTCCAGTTCCACCGATGAACTCCCCGACGGCAATCTTGCCCTGCTTCAAGTACTTGACAAAGAGATCACGTTCGGCCTTGAAGCCGTTGATGATGCTCGAGTCTGTTCCAGATGGGAAGAAGTTGGCGACGTTCTGATTTTGAAGCTTGTTGATGATGGTGTTGGAAAGGGTGGTAATTTCATGGAGGGGAAGGAAGGCGGCAGAGTTACCGAGACTGGTTGTGTACACGCCTAACGACAGATTATTATTGTTTTCTCATCAATCTTTAAACTGTGAGAACTTACCTTCACGCTTGGTCTTGTAGAGTTCTAATTGTTCTGCCATCCAGGTAGTGTTGGAGTTGTTTGCTGGGCTTGGGTTCAAATCGTTGGCGACGGTTCCGGCGGTGAAGAGGTAGGGGTGGTCATGGAAGTTGGCGCCCACACCTGGGAGATCGGAGACAACGGGGATTCCAAAGGAGTTGAGCAAATTCTTGGGTCCGACGCCAGAGAGTTGAAGGATTTGAGGAGTGTGAGGAGCACCCGCAGCAAGGATGATCTCTTTGCATGCCGATACAGACTTGACAGTTTGTCCACGACCTTTAGCAAACTATAAAAGAGGAGTTTTAGAATCATTCGTGGAACCAACACGATCTGTTGACACGAACCTTGACTCCAGTCGCGGCTTTTCCGTCAAAGATGATTTGGGTCACAGTATTTCCAGGAAGAAGGTGAAGGTTTTGCCTGGATTTGGCTGGCTCATAGTATGCGGTGCGTGCATATGATCGCGTTCGTGAGACTGGGTCCAAGGTGTTCGGCGCCCAATAGGCACCGAGGGCGTCACCAGAGGCATAGTCGTAAGGCACATGTGAACCGAATTGTTGAATAGCTTTCAAAAAGAGTTCTAGGAGGAGAAGTCAGATGAGGAATACGAGAGGAAGGTAAAGATACGCACTAACGGCTGGGTAGAGGAAGGGAGGGTAGCTAGATTGGGCGGGGCCTCTTGTACCGTGATAGCGCATGTCATAGGTGATTCCAAACTCTTGTGCTAGAGCTGCTGGGGGAGGGGTGAAGGTTTCGCTCTAGGGGAGAGTATAAGTATCGAGGATGAGGGCGGTTTCGAAGGACTCTACCTTGATAAAATAGGGCAATAAATCATTCCAACCCCACCCACTGTTGCCCAAGTCTTCCCAGATATCATAATCTGCTTTGGCACCGCGCGGCATAAACATGCCGTTGACCGCGGTACCACCTCCGACAACTTTCCCGGCTAGGAGCACCTCGGATCTGTTGTTAAGACCTGGTTGTGGTACACTAGGGATGCTGTAGAAATACTTTGCGGGAGCTCCTAGTGCGTATCTTGGGACAAGAATCTCATCCTCTCCAGCGTCAAGATCGCCGGCTTCGATGACGAGAACTTTTACTGCAGGGAAAAAAGTCAGTCAACTTTGCACTTTGTTCGAAAAACTATACGGGTCGTAGCATTCATGATCGCAGATGTAGATAGATAAGGATAATGAATGACACCCACCCCAAGGATTCTCTGTGAGACGATTAGCGACAGTGAGACCTGAGGCGCCAGCTCCGACGATGATATAGTCGTAGCTCGAGAGGAGCTGAACATCTCTGCCTACAATCTGGGAACGAGCGACAAGATGGGCGAATGGTGAACTTGCGGTGACTAGTGGCGGTGC